TTTAAGTTTTAGCTTTCTAAAATGGTTATGAGAGGTAACGTCTGACTGAAAAATGGCCTATATAATTTCCTGTTCTTACCATCCGTCATCTTTCTGTTCCAGAAATTATAAACAGAGATTGCCGGTCTACTGACTGAGAATGGCTCTACGATTTTTAGGAAAAAACAAGAATGCAAGTCAATTTCAAGTAATGTTAAGAGAATAAGTCTCAGTTGTGAGGCATTTTTCTATTTTCTATATCTCCTAAATCGAAGTCAGTTATGTGAGACCATCCAGTTGACATTGGGCAAGAAAGAACACCCTGGACAGGCTGCCAGTCCATCTCAGGGACTGGCAGACTCACACTCGCTCCTCCTGTGATTTAAACAGCAGTGATTAACTAACATGCATGTTTTCTGGACGGAGTGAGGAAGTAAAAGAACTGGCAGAGAACCCACACATACAGAAAAAAAAAGAACCTGGCATTTGAGGACTGACTTAAGCACTTCCTGTTAGAATTCCACCTTAATTGGCCCATCTTTGTTACCCTGGCAACAAAGGAAAAGCAGCAAGAGAATAATTGCTGGCAATTCGAGTAGTTCCTTTGATTGTCCAGGATTATAATTTGGACCAACAGACATCAGTCAGGCATATTAGCCTGTGCTGCACGTGGCAGGCAGTTAATCAACAAACTACACAAAGATTTATTGTATTGTTGTCAAATGACATCTGAAATGTTATTAAACTCCATGCTCAAGGCCTCACTAGAGCCTAATTGATAAGTTGGTTGTTCGGAACACAAATAATACAATCATATACAAACACACACACACATGAACACACACACAGCTTTGCAGGGAGGGTAAACAGGCAGGTCAGCAGTTTGGTCCAATGATGACACAGTGTGCCACAAAGAGAGAGATCAGAGTCAGACCGACAACCCTACCAAGGGTGACCCCCCCTCCCCTCCCCCCTCCACCGCCGACAAATGTGTGCTTCAGACTGGTTGACACACATTTGAGCATCAGACAAATATATGTGTGGCTAGAGTATTCAGATAGAGACATATAGCTCACAGCGTGACTGACACAGAAGCCGTTTTATATCTTACGAAAAAGCAAAGAAAATCAAACAACTATAATGCAACAATAATACAATTAGAGAAAAGGAAGCTAATAGTTTATACATGCCAAGAAAGTCAGTGTGCTCTGAGCCCAAGAACGAAAAGCTCGTGTAAAATGTAAATTTATAGGAAGCAGAAGCACTTGAGGCTTAACCAAAGTCTTTCTGCCTCAGCATGGCGGTGTGTAATAACTTTCAAGCGATTTGCTATGCTGATCTGGTGAGGGGTTTAAAGTGAAAACCAACACGAACCTGCGCAATGAGAGTGAACAATGTGAAACATTTCAGCACATGGCTTGTAAGACACTTCCAGCTTATCCCTAAAACTGTCCACAAATTCAAAGATCAATAAATTCCAAGAAGTGACTCTGGCGTTAAAGAAAGAGAACCAGACAAACAGTGGAGCCACCAAAATGAAATGAATATTAAAAGCAGTTGTCATAGGACTTTTATGAAAACTGGCTGTAATGAACATCAGCAATGCATGTCTATCCACTGACGTGTAGTTTCAACACCTTAAAAAAAAAATGGGTTAAGAATATAACCATCCTCAGAGCACAGGTCTATTTCTGTGATTGACCATCAGACACTGATTTGTAGTAGAATGCCCAAAGACTGGCACAGGGCACTAGCAATGGCTTAAAATGTGACCAGGCTGAGAGCTAGTGGTGCCATAAGGACACCAAGAACGCCAAGAGCAAAGAGTGGCGTAATCTGCCAAAGAGAACACAGGATCACAGTGACGTAACACCAAAAACTGGATGCCGTGATAACAAGCGAGAGCAGACATATGGACTAAAGTGTGAGGGTGAGTGCATACAAGCAACCTTGTCCTATTGGGACAACAAACAGAGCTGCAGTGATGCCAGGGTGGGCTTACTGGCCTCGGTCTCTGGCTGTGTGGTTGGTGTGGCTGGCATCTTGGAGGCATGGTACGACATGTGGTGCAGCACAGCAGGCAGCCGGAGTCACAACAAGAATGACACTTGTGTCTACACGGCTCTGCTGCTCACTCCTGCTGAAAGCCACGACAAACACAGCCCATGGTTCAAAGCACAGAGCAACCCACTGTTTCAAATCATTCATTTTCATGTCGTATAGACCACATCATGGAATTTGCCACTTTCGGTTTCATTTCTCTATCTTTCTAATTCGGGATAAAGCAGCTCGGTATGGGCGCAGACCGTAATGGAAGATCCAGTGGTCAGTGAAGGAACCTTCACTCATTTTTACATCCCTTAATCTTTCATGGCTCTGCGTCTCTGTGCTCCCTGCATATTTGAGGATGGGTGGGCCGGCCACTCTGAGAGCAGTGATTGCTTTCACAGAGCGGATCATCGGAGACAAATAAAATGCAGCCACGCACCAGGGGAATTAAGCAGGTAATTATGTATGTTGCGTGCACAAGAACGCAGAGACGCTTTTACACATGAACCTAACCAATCTAACCTCAGCGGGGACCCTAACAGAGCGGTGGGACAGGCACCAACACAGCAGAAAAAGGTCTTTATAGGAGACTCAAATGCAAAGGGAAACAGTTTGGTAAGGAGAGAAGGGGAGCAAAGTCAGAAAGGAGAGGATGTCATTCAGTGGACAAATAAAACTGGTTCTATGAAAAGAGAGACGGGGTCATAGAGAGTGAGAGTCTTAACGCTTCAGTGAATGTTATGCCATATGCTGACCTGCTTTCTTTCAACCAACCAAAGCTGCGCACTTACAAACTCATAAAAAAACAGCCTCGAACACGTGGACACAACATAAATGGAAACTTACAAACCCACTTCACCAAAGCCTGTGCCCATTAGTGTGAGATGAATATCCACTCATCGGCTGCTTACCAAAAATCCAAAACTTATTCAACAGAAAAACCAGTTTATGTGCATTGACATTGCTCTTTTTCATCTTTATAGACAGTAAATCCGCTAAGATTTCCTACCAATCGTATCAGCCAGTCACAAAAGGGGAATGCAAAATAAAAACATCACTGGGGCTGATCAGAATACCACTCTTTGTTTGTTTAAATATGGGTCATAAAGAGACATTTTCAGGAAGTATTGAAGGTTCAAACTTTCACCCAAACACTGTTTTTCTTGACTATTTTTCTCGAAAAAATATTCTTAATCATATCTTCTTTTTTTGTCAAATGTGCATACTGTTTATAAATGAATAGGGAAAAAGCAAAGGAGGTGTCCATTTTAAGTGTAGCCTAGTAGTAGAGACAATCTGTATTATCTCATTAGTGTGTTATTAGGTGGACATTCAGTGACCGCAACAGCCACTACTCATCAGTGACATCCTTCGGGTTAAACAAGTCCAAAGCTAAGAGGGTGTAGACTCATTACACGCAGAACCGTGTGTAGTAGATCTGACAGTCACATCACAATACATTAAATATCATGTTAGGCAAATCAACAGAAACATGTCAGGCTTCAACATCTTTGCTCTCTGTCAGAGTTGTCATTTTAAGGCAACCATTGCTGATTGAGCTTCTTCTTATACTTAAGAAAAATGTATATGCAATCAATGATGTTTGTGATTGGGGCACTGAAATTGATTTATTTGCATTTATGTTCATGGTTTGTTGTGTATTTACCCTGAAGCCTAGATTTACATCTGTATCAAAGTGCTTTTTGCATTTGAAAAAAAAATTACACCAGTCTTTTGGCAATTTAATTCATTATGATCATGCTTGCTGGAGTTGTGGTGCCAGTCATTTTGATTAACATCCAAATGTCAACGTCTAGCTGCTCAGAGAAAAAAAGAACCTGTAGACATTGAAAAAGCCTTTTCATTCATTGTGACTAGAATGAGTATTCAAATCCGCTCCTCTGCCATGCAGTATTAGATTATCCCTCTTTAGTCCAACCAATTCACTCCGTCTGTGTCCACTAACACACTGACACCGAAGTGAAGAGGATGTAGAGTGGGAGCAGCAAGACTGGAGAGGAGTGACCTTTCTCTGTGGTTATCTCCACGGAGCTGACACGCACGTTTATTCCAAGCACAAGCAAAAGCTCTCTCTTCTCCCAGCCCAACAAAATGATCATCATCAAACACAAATCTTCCTCGTTTTTTTTTTTTAACCCCATGCATTCATCCATATTTCACAATGCTATCTGTCATTCAGAGCCTCTCATTTTGAATAGTGACACACCCACTGAAGCATATCTTTCCCATTCCATGAAAAATATTAGATGCTGATGATATAATTATTTGAAAACCAAGCCTGTAATCGAGCTCCTCCAATCACCATATTCCTCCCTTAGATTATCCCAGCCCCCTATGTTTGTATTTATGTTTATTCTAATTTTTTTTTTTGGGGGGGGGGGTCGATTTGTGCAGCTCAGGGCAGATGTAAACCGCTGCATGCCAGGCTGCATCAAACTGACCTACTACCACGTTCTGAATTCACTACATTTTTTATAATATTTCCAGATACAGTCGTATAAAGTCCAAACTACAGGTTTTACGGATCCGCAACGACATTCCCAGTTACTGTCAGGTCTTTTCTGCGGTGGAATCGAAACCCGGTGATTCCTGCAGTAAATGATCGGTTTCAGCTGAAGCGCTATTGAATTGTTCCCACCGCAGGATCGATGGAGCCCAGCAGCAGCAGCAGTGCTGCACTGCTGCCTGCGCGCAACCGCTGCACAGAAAGATGCAACATGAATGTCAATGCCGGGTTTTTGCCCCAGCTACGATGCAGCGGCGGGGCCGTTGCAGGTTATTGCCGAATCGAAGGCACTTGGATTCTACTTCTACGGGTTGGATGTGGCTGGTCTTAAATCAGACCGGCAGAAGCTTCGGCCGACAGGTGGTGATGCGTTTTTTTACGCACTCCGAACGTGTTTTTTCTGCCCCCCTCCACACACCTCCTCGGTCCACACAGGTCCACTCACCGTCACTGCGGAGTGTCTGACTGCGTTACACGCCGTCTGCCGTATCTCTGCCGCGCTCCCCGGTTTCAGCAGGTTCTTGGTGAATCTCCGGGTGGATTCGGCTGCCATCTCCTCATCTGAGCGGCTCCCGTGCGCAATTCAGCCAAGGAAAATCTCTGCAACAGTCAGTCCCCGGTCCTTGCTCCTAACATGAGCCTGCCGTGCTCTGTTTACACACACACACACAGACACTCACACACACACGTACACACACGCTTCACGCTCGCCGTGGCTCACACACGCGCAGACAGCGGCGCAAATGGAGACGGCGTCAAGTTGGTTTGGACGTAACATGTCAAGCGTGGGTCCGACTTTCAAATTAAAATACCCAGTCTGAACCGGCATCATTTCAGAGTATTCAGAGGGAGAGGCTCTTTAGTACTGAAGGGACGCGCAAATTCCTGCGCGCGTCTTCCCCTCAGTCTGAGCTTTTACAAGAAGCGCGTAATGATCATCGTGGCTTCAGATGATCTTTATTCTGAGTCTGAGTCGCCAAAAATAGCCTTTTATTTACCAACTACATGAAAACAGAATTAATGTGTCGAAAGCTACGCTTTCATTCATCATGTGGTATCAGCTGATTCAATATTCCAGTCAATACTGAATGCATCTCACTTCCAACAATTCGTTTAGAAATTCATCAGTAGTCCAGTCACGATCAAGGAAGGATGGAGCAGCGTTTCAATTTGTGGTTATCAGATGTGGAAGCCTACGTGGCTACACTGACATCTGGCGTCAGAACTGAGGAGGTTCCCAAATGCTTTGACTTAATCAAACTTAGCTTTAAGTTATCGAAATACCATTTGAAAAGAGCAGGTATATTCCTATAAAAGAATAACGGCTCAAGATTGACTGGCTGTAGTCCCTACAAAACAGTTACCAACAAATGAATCACGCCCTTTAAAAGGTGCTTTATTCATCCCTCTTGTGCTCATATGTTGAACTACATCGTCTAAATTTTCGAATGTTAAACTTTATGTCTATGAAATAAAATCACAACTTCTACTATTTTAATATTTAAACAATTGTGGAGTATTTTAAACTGTCAGACTATATATATATATATATATATACATATATATATATATTTGGCCTTTACATTAATATAATCTCGTTGTGTTTCATTGTGCTCTTCATCTTTATCTAGTCATACACATGTTTAGTTTGTTCTCTTCAACAAGTTTCACCCACATTTGCTTATACTTACTATCTAAAAGTGAAAGCTTCTTGTGATTAAAAGCCTTTTTTACTTCATCAGAACAACTGAAAGCTTTCAATCTACAGTTACATATTTCAAGTAATCAGACACATTAGGTTCTAAGGCTGACATCATGTTCTTGTTCATAGTAGGGATAATATGCATAAATGACTATGGATGACTGTGAGATAAAAAAATAACTTTGTTACATTCACTTTTTTCTCTAGGTGGCAGTATTGCATTAAAAATGCCACATGTGCCTGAGCAGAGCAAATCTTCAGTCATTAAATGCTGAAATATTGGTCTTTGACATTTTTATTAACTCCTAGAAAGATCAACTTTTTTTTCTCTTCTTTCAGATATTTAAATGAATATTGGTGGTTAAAGAGCAAGCGATTAGAAAACAGCAGTTCACACTGTGCTTTGACTGTACTTTACATTTTCCAGTCTGGTTTTTGGATGTCCATTTGCTTATTGGAGCTCATTGGGATTGAATTCCAATCTCTGTTAAATTATTTACATTAAATGCTTATGTTGTGACTGTTTTGATTCAACATTTCTGTCTGGTATTTGTATGGACCTGACTCTTTGTCAGGTTGTACATTTTTCACCACATTTTTCACCATATATATAGTAGCCTACTGTACTATCAAGACCTATGGCACAGTGTATTAGATATAACTAATAACAGGACTTGAGTGTGAGGTTAAAAAGATTGTGCGTAATTGTCCAAAAAAGGGGAGTGCCATTTTCAAATGGAGTCGATAGAATATTGTGTTTTCTCTGTTCATATAGTTGGATCCTGTAAATTTAAGCTAAATACCCTACAGCAGTGATTTATTCCAAAAGACAAAGAAAAACAGATGGTGGATATTTCTGTTTGCATTTGTCTGTCCAAATGAAAACAAATATGTTGGAGATGGCAGACGAAGTTGTAGTTTATGAGCTGATATGGGGTCAGTGAAACACTGGGATATAACAGAATCTTTGGACTCAATCTGTTAGTCAGAGACAACAAGAGGATTCTTAATTTCCTCTCAAGGGTCTTGAGCAGTGGTTAAGTATGCAGTCTTTCCAGTTGCATGTCCTTTTTATAAGTGTTAGTCCTAAGCTGCATCTTTGATTATCATTTTTTAAATACATTGCTTTTTGAAATGGCCTTGGTTGGACTATCACTTTGTGTTAACAAAAATAGCATAAAACAACTGGTTTGGATTGAGTTGTTTTAAAGAACCTTCCAAGATTAGGAACAGATTCAGTTTGTTTTAGAGTTTATCTCTTTTTCTGTTTCTTTGTGTTAATACTCATTAATGAAAGTAAACAAAAAATGTCAGTTGAAAAATTTATTACCAATGCAGCCATTAGTCACAACCCTTGTGTCAGGTATTCTAAGATATGGTATGTTTGCTAGTTGTGCTCATTTGCCTGAAGAATAATAAAGGAATCCATGTGTTTTTTTTTTAGATGTTATCCTTTTATTAGCAAAGTTGCACACTAAACACTGTAGTTCAGCAGGTAAATCTTTTCTCTGTAGTGTTTGCAACTAATAAAGTTGAAGAGGAATTTCACATGACACATAACAGAATTAATTCAGGTTAGCTTCAGAGCTTGAGATACAGCAGAATATACCAGATGGTAGAGTTTGGGTATGAAGATGGAGTGTGCTGTATAAAACGTTTGAAATAAAGAAAACATGAATTTAAAAAAACTAAGAGCTGGTGTACTTTTAAATGATCAATTAATCTCATAATGCATTTCCCAGACAGTTAAAGATGTGCTGTAGGTTCTTCCCTAATCCCAGCACTGCACAGCTGACAGTAAAGGTTAACTGAGAGGTGAAAGTGAAGTGCAGATACTGAAAAGAGAAAATAGAGTGGCCAAGGCCATTAAAAAAAGTTAAGAGGGCTAGAGAAATGCTGGATCTCCTCACATAGGACTTGGACACAGAGCAGCTCTAGACAGCCTATATTTCTTGTCAAGTCCCCAGATTCAATAAAAAGATAGCACTTTCCAACAGCCACAGGTTTCTTGATTCAATACTATCTTGAGGACAGAGGAAAGAAAGAGACCATTCAAAGCCTTTAGGGAGGATTGCAGGATCACATTTCTGCAGGCCAGGCTTTACCCAGCGGCCTAATTCTAATTTCCTTTTTTACAAGCTAACACACAAAGAGTGCATGTCCATCTGCAGTTGCCTACTCCTATGGGACACATAGAGAAGAGTTGTGTTTATAGGGGTCTGGATGTAAGTGTGAGAGATTTGTTCAAATCCGTGGATATGATGTATTCAGGTGAGAGTGATGTGATTTGATTAAGACCAACAGAGCATGGGAAATGAGAACTTCTGGCAAGAAAGAACAAGCTCAAAGTGGGTATACACCCATGAAGGAAGAATGGCTGTGATATTGAAAATAAGAATCAGATGCAAAAAAAAATAATAAACATGGAAACCGAGAGAAGATATTGCATAACATATGAGCAGCTGAAGCATTTTGAACAAATTGGTCTCCAAATACTCCACTACTCGGATGCCAAGTGGAAAATACACTGTACAGAGTGTGTTAGATATATTTATTTGTTTCACAGCGTATCAGGCAGCTACGTAATTGAACGTGAACATGATGAACCCCCTTTCTACACTCAAAAAAGTACATTTTTTGTCTGTAGTGAGTTAAGAGAAAAATCCTGGCCATGCTTCAACGATAAACTTTGAGCTTTTGTAAACATCATCGTTCCAAATTAACTTTATCCCACTGTTCCGCTTGCATGAGCAACATCGGTTGTTCCTTTATCTGTCAAGCCACTCTTGATTATCACATTTAGCATTCTCGTTTTCAGTCAAGGAAATCCGTGCTCTTGAGGTTTGAGAGTTATTCAGTGTTTTTTCCCCTTTTTTCAAGAGTTCGGTGCTTGAAGTGCAGATGCAGTAAACAGTAAGTTGATACGGTTGATGTGCATGTCAGAGATGAATCAGCTCATAGAGAGCCTGTTAGAATGCCATACAGTAATAAATGGACAATGCAGAGTTCATTCCAAACCTCAGTTGTTTGATACAACTGGCAGAAACTTTCTGCACATCTGTATATTTACACAAATTTGTGAGCACATACCTGTGAAGAGGCATATTTGACATAGCCAATTAGGGGCAGGAAAATGTTGTTTATCATCCCTCTAAATGGCGAACACAAACAATCGTCTTTGATGTTGTCTTCTTTGGGCTACATCCTAAACTTTTCCAGAGAACTTGGTTGGGTTTTTTTTTTAGCTCTTTTGCACATTAACAAAATAATGTTACTCTGAAATGTTAAAAAGTGCATTTTGTGATATGGAAAGCAGCTCTTTTCATTGTGTGAGGAGCCAAACGTGGATGATGTAATTTTATCTACATTACTAAGAAATGTATTCGTTTTTGGAATTTGTTCACAAATCAGTACTTATTTCTGCATTGTCTGACTTACAATAACCTCTTAGAGCTCAACTCAACATGTGTAAATCTTGTCAAATGGCACCAAATAAGAACCATATTTTTGTCATATTTTGACAAGGAGTGGATCCTTGGAAACTGGAAAAGCTGACCACAAAATAAGCAGACTTTTGGATACTCTGAACACAGGTCACCCAGAGTGTTCTGTCTCACTGGAGTTAAGCACATGTGCAAAACATCGCGATGAGTCCAGTCTGATATTAGATTACATCCTTCTTTGTTGTCTGTGTTTTTTTGTTGTTGTTTCTTTTATGAATTAATTGTGATCATACTGTTTTATTCCCATTCCATTCACTCTTGTGTGTCTGTCTTAGAGAACACAGTCTGGTGCCTGGGGTGAAACGAGGCAGATAAAAGGCAGTGCTGAGGTCTAGTTTCTCAGAATCC